AGGAAATATCCTTAATATAAATGTGTGATTTACAATATCCCCATGATAGCAAGAAAAAATAGATTCATACAATGTTTTATAGGCAAGTATTATGCCAAGTATTTAAATGATTATTCTCATTTTTAAGTAAGAATAATATTCTTTTAGTGGTAAAAGGTAATCTTTTATTAGCCCATAGACCACTGAAGAGATTTCAGGCAGTTCCAAAGTAAAGTCTGGCAGTCCTTTCCATAAAATAAACAGAACAGCATCAATCCCTGGGAATCCATTACACATAGCTACAAAGACTCCACTTAAGTTAACTGGACCCTAAGTAACTGACGTTACAAAGTTAAAAACAAAATTTTAGAAACTAGTTAAGACTATTGGCCCAAATTTAGTTTTTACTTGCTTGTATATGTCCAAGATAAGAAATTTTACCATAAAGAACACATTGAAATTAATAACTATTTCTAATATACATAAACCAAAGTGCTTTAACCCTTACCACTAATCAAAACTTATCTCTAAAGACAACGTTCAGAAATACTAGTAAACACACAGAGCTTTGAGATAGAACAAGAACCTCTTCCTACATTCTAACGATCAATAAAGATCTATAACATATGTAAATGAACACACTAATTTGGGATATACTGATGTTATGTAACTGCATAAATACATACAAAAAAACCCAAATTCTGACAGTATTTCTAAAACCTCCATATTTTTTAAACCCAAATGGTTTGAGATGAAAAACTGTGATTCCCCTTTTTAATATTAAGTTTTTAAGTAGAAAAACAAACCCAACACTTCACTTTGCAACATGGATTAAGCTCTAAACCAGTCAAGAATCTCTTCTGTTGCTCCCCAGTTTCAGAACACATAAGCTTTGTCTTTACTCAGGAAGCCTGATCCTCTCCAGTGCTCTGCAACAGAGAAAAAAAAATTTCCTTAATATAGTCAATTAGTTTCATATCCCTTGGAACTCAAAAGCTCCAGACCAAGGGAAACAGTCTTCATTTGTAAGCAGCGTCAGCTCCTATGTTGTTTTCAACAATCCAATCATGTTTAAGAATATACACACTAGAGAAGTAAATCTTTGGATTCCATCACCCACTCAAGATGTCCAGCTTCTCACATTAGGCAAAGTGTCACCAGATTTTGTGTGAGACATAATAACCCTATCTAAATTATACCAGGCCCAAGGTTCAGCTAAGCCTTTAGCAAAGTCCCTCACACCTTAAAACACTGAGAATCCTAAGGGGGGGGGGAACAATACATAAAACTAAAACCCTAAAACATACATAACAATTACCCATAGCATGGAGTCACGAAAGACTCCTGCAGAAGAAATCATGTCCCTGTGAGAGTATCTGTTTCCTGCCATTCAGATGGCTCAGCAAAAAAAGGTGTTTTGTCACCAAACTAAATTCAATCCCTGGAACCCACATGGTAGGAGGAGAAAAACTACCTCCCACAAGCTGTCCTCTGACCTACACACACACACACACACACACAATTTGTTTTCTCTATTTCTTTTTTAAAATTTATTTATTTCTTAATTATATATGGAAGGGCTTTTGGATCTCCTGAAACTGGATACAATAGTTGTTAGCCATCTTATGGGTACTGGGAACTGAATCTGAGTCCTTTGCAAGGGTAGCCAGTGCTCTTAACCACTCAGCCACCTCTCCAGCCTTCTACTTCTTATCTTCTATAAAGAGACACTGTGAAGTAAAATGAAAAAAGAACAACTTTCTAAAGAGAGAGCAACATCCAAGCTCCAGCTTTTCACTATATACGGGCTTTGCATTCTGGAGTTAATCAGTCTCTCGGGGACTTAGTTAACCAGTATAAGTCCTGGACCAGAAACTTTCGTGACACCATACCCCAGACCTACTGATTAAGGAACCTCTGGGCATTTGTTTATAAAAATGGTTGTTGACACATCCTATGCAATATCTAAATTGAATCATGGGAATGAAGCTTATGTATCATCCATTATCATGTATAATCAATAAATTATCTGATTCTCTTGAAGAGAAAAAAAAAAAAAGAAAAGAAACAAGAAACCTCTGGGCTGGGGGGCTGGAAGAGATGGCTTAGTAATTAAGTAAGCACTGGCTGCTCTTGCAGAAGACCCAGATTCAGTTCTCAGCACCCACATGGCAACTAACAAGTGTCCTTAACTCCAGCTCCAGGCATCCAACACCCTCTTCTGGCCTCCATGAGCATGGCATGACACAGGTACACTTATAAACAAGCAGGCAAAATACTTATACACATAAAATAAAAACAAATAGATTAAAAAAATTTTTCCTCTTCAAAGAAATAGACCTCAGAGTGAAGCCCAGCAATTTTCAGCCTTCTGGATGACTGTGATATGCTGAAGTTTGAGAATGACTGTCCTTTCTAACACTCTTAACTACACTAAACCAGACAAAGACCTGGTCAATTTTCCAAGGGCATTTATAAACACTCTACTATCTCACTGAAAACCCCAATTTAAGTCCTCATGTTGAGGAATTATTAAAAAAAAAAAAAAAAACCTTTTTGTTGGGGGTGGTCAATTTCCTTTTCTTTTCATTTTTTTTTCTTTTTTTTTTGGTCTTTTTGAGACAGGGTCTCCCTGTAGTCCCAGATGTCCTGAAACTCACTATGTAGACCAGGCTGGCCTTGAACTCACAGAGATACACCTGCCTTTGCCTCCCAAGTGCTGGGGTTAAAGGTGTATGCCACCACGCCCGGTCAAAATATTTTAAAATAATACTAAGCATAAGGTCTTATTTTTCAATCTGTGTTATGAAACCCTAAAACCATACAATATGCATTCTTCAAAAACATACATTAGGGGCTGGGGAGATGGCTCAGTGGTTAAAAGCACTGGCTACCCTAGCAGAGGACCCAGGTTTGAATCCCAGCACCCACAAGGCAGGTAATAACCCTCTGTAACTCCAGTTCCAGGGGATTTGATGTCTGCTTCTGACCTCTGCAGGCATTGTACAACACAGGTGCACTTACATACAGGCAGGCAATACATTCATACACATAAAATAAAAATAAGAAAGTATTTTAAAATACATTAAAAGTAATCATAATTAATGTAAAGCAATTGAACTTAAGGTAATTTATGAAAAATAAGTGATTGCCAATGATAGTTTATTTTTCTTGGTAATGATACATTTCTGTGTTGTACTAAGTCTCCAAAGGGCACAAAACTCTTAAGCATCCTCTCATGCTTAAGCATAAGCATCCTCTCATGCTTAAATAATCATATAGCTTAAAAAAAAATTGTTCAAAAGCATTTCATAAAAAGTAACTACAGGAGTCAGAATCATTGCATAAGTCACTGATCACATTCAGAAAACACTTACTTGTCTTAAAAACTGCTTTCCAAGATACGAGGTAGCCATGCTGGTTAAGTTCTTCCTGCTGCCCACTTTACACCTGATGTAACCATATAGGTTGGCACCCTGCAGCACCACACCCATGATCACAACAGCCTGGGAGAAGAGGAAAATAGCCAATGGTTATTTACCTAAAATCAAGTTTTCTCTATGCCATTATGTGCGACAAGGCAGTGATGAGAAAAAGGAAGGTCTGCAAGGCGGGGTATGCCAGTGAGACTCCTTAACCTGCAGAGAAGACCTACCTGATACCACTCTGCAGAAGACACCAAAGATAAGCACTCTCGTTCATACTCCTATTCTCGCTCTCTTATCAGATCAAGTTGAATAAACTGAGCACAAGCAAAAGGAAATTTCTACACCATGGTTTTGCATATGTGACAACTGGCTTATGGAAAGGGAACAGGGTCTGCTCTCCACAAGAAGAAAAGAACTGCACTGTGCAAGGTTGCTAGTCCCTCGTGGCCACACCAGGGATCCTACAGGCAACCCTCATGAGATCACTGAGAACTGAAATTAAGAAACTCAAACCCAATCAAAGAAAATTAACTAATATAAAGAAGTCTTTTGCTTAAATACTCTATAAAACTCAGCAAACATTTTCGGTAAACAACCAGACAACATTTTAGACAACCTGGGTCATACAATCAACACCTGCTCTTCAATTCTGCTATTTAGTCCCAAAGCAGCCACAGACACCATGTAAACCAATGGGTTAGGATGCGTCTCAATAGCAATGTACAAGAACAGTGAAAACCATAGCCTGCCAACCCCTACTCTACAATGAATAGCTCAAAACCCTTCTATTATCACCAAATATATTCAGGAAACGCTGACATCAGTGAAAAACAAAGCAGTCAAACAGAATGCCTATTTCTAATTCATACTTATTCCTTTAACTCTTTTTTTTTGTATTTTTTTGTTTGAGACAGGCTCTCCCTATAGCCCCAGCTGTCCTAGAACTCACCATGTAGACCAGGACGGCCTTGAACTCACAGAGTTCTGCCTGCCTCTGCCTCCCAAGTGTTGGCATTAAAGGCATGCACTGCCATGATCAGCTATTCTCTTTAACTCTTAACAAGTTGAATTACCTGCTATTAATCAAGTCAGAAGATTTTTAAATGTTTAAAGAACTGGTCCAAATTCCTAGTAAAAGAAGTTCAGGGAAGAGAGGAGAAAAGAGGAAGCATGGGGGAGAATGCTATTAAAGTATAAGGTACTTGAAACGTCTTTATGAAAGTCATCACTATGTACAGTGAATACAAGACAAATAATTAAAATATCTATAGAGAACCTGAAAATAATAAATTAAGATATAAAATGTTGCAAAATGATCTTACCACCTCAAATATTCAATGGTAGCCCAAAAGAAATAAAACACCTTTAAAAAGAAAAAAAGGGGGGCGGCTGGAGTGATGGCTCGGCGGTTAAGAACACTGACTGTTCTTTCAGAAGATCTGGGTTTGAATCCCAGCACCCAGATGGCAGCTAACAACTGTCTATAACTCCAGTTCCAGGGGATTCAATGGACTCTTCTGTCCTCTGTGGGCATTGCATGACATGGGTGCACTTACCTACATGCAGGCAATACACGCATACACATAAACTAAAAATAATAAAGAAAAAAAAAAGAAATCGCACTTATGCTTTCCATTCAGTCCTATGCTTCATGGCAATAATCAGGTTAGCACTGAAGAAGACTGCTAAATGCCTAAGTGAACATACACTTGGATTCCTGTCTCAACACTTCCTGTAACTACCTCCCAGCTCCTCAGACTGGGATGCTCCTGGGTGTATACACACCAGCAGGCCACAGAGAACATCCATTTGCAGACTAAGCATGGATCCTGCTCGGGCACTGATTTTATGAAATGGGCAAATTTTTAAATGTATCTATAAGTTTTAAGATGGCACAGTGAAGTCACACATGAAGATTTCTGTCCCTCCTCTGAAAAGAAAGGCAACAAGTAGCCTTTACTATTATTATAAATTCTATTTATTTGTACATGTATATGAATATGTGTATTGTATGTGTATGTGTGAGGTGGGGAGATGGTTCAGCTGGTAAAGTGCTTGCTGCTTAAGCATGAGGACCTGAGTTTGATCTCTACCTTCTCATAAAAGGCTGGATTTGTGCACATGTGTGGGGGTACATACATGTGTGAAGACCATAGGTTAACACTGAGTATTGTTTTCAGTTACTTTTCTCCTAATTTTTTGAGCAGCATCTCCTACTGAACCCAGAGTTTCCTAATTTGGCTAGACTGGCAGGCCAGAAAGCCCCAGGGATCCTCCTGTCTCTGCCCAAATGAGCTAAGATTGCAGGTGTGTACAGCTGCACCCACCCTTTTATAAAGCTTAAAACTGACAAGTAGGTTTTTAAGAAAAGTGAATAAACTAGTACCAGTAAACACAGAAAAACACTGCTGGTCAGGCAAAGAGCCCCTTTGGTGCCACTCTACAAGAAGCTCCAAGGGAAATAAATGATTGGCACCTCACAACTATAGAGATGCAGATACTCAAAGGAATAAGGGGAAAAAAAGATGGCCAGGCATGGTGGCACAGGTTCTTTAATTCCAGCATTCAGGAGGCAGAGGCAGGCGAATCACTGTGAGATTGAGGCCAGCCTGGTCTACATAGTGAGTTCCAGGACAGCTGGGGCTATAGGGAGACCCTGTCTCAAAAAGAAAAAAACAAAGAAATGCAGAATGTGCATAAGCACAGAAACTCATTCCATCCAAGGGGGAAAGCCTGCAGTTAGCCATGGTGAGTCCAACCTGGTATGAAGGCAGCAGCAGAAGAGAAGGACGACCAACCAGCAATCATGGGAGCTGACTGTCTTGAGAAAGCTCTGGGGGAAGGGGTGTCGTGGAGAGCCTGGATGAGGCCCCTCCCAGCTGCTTTGGGGAAGCAGAAGCACTGCCAGAGCAAGACTGGGCTGACTCTCCTGGAGCTTAGGTGCCAGGTCTCCCAGTGACTTACAGCAAAACCACTGAATCACACTGCTCACAGCCAACCAGGAAACAGGAACTCCACTCCTTGAGAGAAGGCATGACCCTTGTAAGCGAGCCAAGGCAACAGGGTCTGGCTGAGACTCCTCACACCTGTATCTTCAGACTACCAATCATAGCATCCAACTCAGCCTCAAGGGTACTAGCCATATGTCCCAGACAACAAAGGAATGGCATGAGGAAAAATTCCCCACAGTAAAGCAGCACAATTAGATGGTCTAACAAGAGCTGACAGTGTGAGCATCAACAAAATGGACAGGAAAAAGGGAAGACACGCTGTAAAACCACAGCAGAAAAACAAAGCAGCACACTGCAGAAGAGGGGGCAGAAACCACACTCGAAAGAGTAAAAGCCACCCTAGAGAAGAGCCCAAAGGAAGACTTCAGGGAGCAGGAAGGGAAGCGGACAGCAGGAGTGGCCAAGATGCAAATGAAGCTGACAGGGAAGAAGCCTGGGGCCTTTGCTACCCACCTACTGCAGCTGCTGCGGTCTCCCAATTTCTCCATAGAACATAAGCACTCCAGGACAGTTATGTTGCTTGTCTGGCCCCTAACCTTTATGTCCAGTTCCCCAAACAGCTATGACATAATGTAAACTCTTAAAAATACTGGCTGAATGTATACATTTTAAAAAATGAAAAATTAAAACAAGTTGTAGACAGCGGATGAAAACAAATATAAACGACTCAATATAGATAAGCAGCAGTATCTCAGAATTAGACCAATGAAAAAATAGAAAAATAAATTTAAAGATTTAATAGAAGCCAATTTTCCTGTCAAAGCAAAACACAAGTTTATATACTGAAAGGGCACCAAGGTTCCAGAAAACTTAATGCAGAAAAATAAATACAGACATATCCTGGCTGTGATATTTAAATTTCAAGCAAGCTGGGTGTGGTTGTACATCCCTTTAATCTCAGCACTCAGGAGGTAGAGGCAGGTGGATCCCTGTGAGATAAAGGCCAGCCTGGTCTACATAGTGAGTTCTAGACCACTGGGGGGTGGGGGGCTACAAGAGACCTTGTCTCAAAAAACAAAACAAGGGAGGGTGGAGAGATGGCTCAGAGGTTAAGAACAATGTACACTGTTGCAGAGGACCCAGGTTTGGTCCCCAGCACCCACCCACATGGTAGCTAACAACTATCCATAACTCTAGTTTCAGGGGACCCAACATCCTCTTCTGACCTCCTCTGTATGACATGGGTGCACTTACATATATGAAGGCAATATACTGATACACATAAATAAAAATAATTTTAAAACATTTTAAGAAAGCAAAATTTCAAGCAAAAGCAAGAAATCAGAAAGAAAGAAGGAAAGGAGGAAGGGACGGAGGGAAAAATTCTTCAAAGAGAAAGAGGATTTATTGATTTTCATGGAGGTTTGATTATTTTCTAGAATACTCAGTATCTTAAAATAAAAAAGGAGTAACCTAGCCAAGTCATCACTCGAGTAGTCAAGAGAAAAATCTTTAACATAAAAGAGTTAGAGGAAAATAACCTACAAGTTTTTTTTTTAAAGTATTTTCATCAGTGGAATGTAGCCAAGCAAGCAACACAAGAAGCTGCAATATGGGCTGGAGAGATGGTTCAGTGGTTAAGAACACTGACTAGTCTTGCACAAGACCTGGATTCGAATCCCCCCACCCACATGGCAGCTAACAACTCCAGTTCCAGGGGATCCAACAGCCTCTTCTGTCCTCCGCGGGCATTGTACAAAACAGATGCACTTATGCAGGCAATACACACACACACATAAAATAAAAGTAATAATTTTTTTTAAAGCTGCAATAAAAGGACTTATGTTAGCCTTCAAACTGAAGCATTTAAAAAATAGATCAAGGCTGGGGAGACAGATCAAGTCAACAAAGTATTTGCCACACAAGCAAGAGAACCTGAGTTTGAACCCAGATGCAG